CTTTTTGCACCAGATAACTGACTCTTACTGAGGCCACAAAGCCTGCCAAGTTTCAAGGAGATCGGTGCAGGGGTTTGGGGGAACTGCACCTCAAGCTGCGGACAAGCAAAACTCATGCTATGGGTGACACTGCGTGTGTTAAGGCACAGCGGGGTGACAGCTGCAGGGATGGTGGCCCCTGCTGTGACGCCTGCCAGCTGTCGAGGAGATCAGTGCAGGGGGGCTCTGGGGCCCTGCACCCCTAGCTGCTGATGGACAAAACTTGTGCCAAGACTGTGTCTGTCTTGGAGCAGTTGATTGAGTCTTTCCTCTCCTTAGCCTGGTTTTGTAGGTGCTAATTGATGCTCGTTAAGTCGTTATGTAGTAGCTAGGTCCTGTGGATTGAGCTGGTCCCTCAGTCCCTGGTCCCTGAGTGAATCATGAGTGATTGGTTGGTAACTGGGAACACAGCAGTTTAGCAGCCAGGCCTGCAGCAGTGTCTCCCCTCGCCGCCCCAAGACAGACACAGCCCGTCCCACAGCACCCATGGCACCAGTTTTGCTTGTCTGCAGCTTGAGGGGCAGTTCCCCCCAAGCCCCTGCACTGATCTTCTTGAAACTTGGCCGGCTTTGTGGCCTCAGGAAGAGCTACCAACCCTGAAGTTTTCACCCTGCTAAGTTTAGAAGCTCTGAACCGCTTTGGGAAGCCGAACGAGGCCAGCGCTTCGACCCGGATGTGCTGCTTCAGACCCTGAAGCGTCCGAAGCTTCTCTGGATCCAAGGCTCTGTCCGAAGCCTCGCACGGCCCTGCTGAATACCCACAATGGCAATTCAAAGGGTCCGCACCTCCATTCAAAATTGTTTAGAGGTCTGTAAATGAAAAAAAGGTGGAAAACCACTGCACTAAACACATAAATGTGTTCATCCATGTGATATGAACCTTGTGGGGAATTTATTGTGTTAACACAATTTGGGATGAGGAATCTGCTGCCCCCTGTCGGGAGAAGAACAATTTATCCCATTTATCTATGAATTATTAAATGATGCAATGAAAGAATGTAATAAAAGTCTTCCTGCCTCCGTTTCTCCCTATAAGCATATATTGTTTTTTGCTTTATCCGTGAGGGCTTCCTGCTTTGCCAGTGTTGCTAGGCAGGAGACTACAGTGTACAATAGTGAAATGATTTACAGTAATCGGGCCAGTAGCGATGTGGATTAGGCCTTTTACTATAGAGCACTGTATTACTTTTCTGGTATAAAGCTGGAGCTCTCCCCTTTTAGAGGCTCATGAGAGCCAAAGCCTGGCAGGGTGGAGGCCATGATGGCAGACCCATGTATTTGGTTAAATGTTTGACTGTTTGGTTTCCTCAAAAAAACTTGAAATGGCATCTCTAATCTGAACTGAAATTCGAACATTCACCAATGTTTCAAGGGGGGCAAGGACACCTGGATGAAGAGCACAGGATAGCACTTGTTGGTAAGGTTCACTATCTCTCGTTGTTTCATCCCCAGCCCAAGCCAAGCCATTAAGCACAGGGAGCCAGACTTGCATGAAAATAGGCAAAGCGTGTTAGAGGATGTGGATATTTTGGCCACCAAAGTTCAGACCCACTGAAGCCCTGATTCTACAGCTCAGTACCTCAGTACTTCTCCACTACAAGGCACCATTAAAATACCGGGTGGGATGATGATTAAATCTGTGTAATTGCAGCATTTATGCTTGCTTATTATTACCAGCACGCATGGAGCACCCATCATCATGACATCTGGGCTTCTTTATGAGGCCTATGTTGAGAAAATAGTTATTTTAATGATGTAGTGGCTTCTTAACCTGGCTGGGGAAATACCATGTATTTGTGTCCATGAAGGCAGTTTTCCTGAACTGCCTCATAGGAGAACAGCTCTTCTGGCATGGTTCGGTACCCGCCGAGGTGCAGTGGCTTTAAACCCAGTTTATGGAAATGGGAGTCTCCTCCTTTGCTTGCTTTGGGGGCCTTATGGTTGAGGGCAAGTAGAACTTGGGGGCCTCCAAACCCCATGACTCTGGGCCTGGGCTGGCAAGTAGGACACCCACCAAAGGTTTTGGAAACATCTGAAGCCCCAAGTGCGGGTGGAGGATGTTTGCCGGTAGTAGGGCCGCTTATGGTTCCAGACTCTTGGATTTGGAATCCGTTTTGGCTAATTTGGCCTCGGATACAAATAAAAAAACAAAACAAAAATCTGCCTAAGATCAGCCCCCAGCCCCTGGGGTACAGAAGCTTGTCACCGGGAGAGCATAAGTGGAAAGCGGAGCAGCAGATGAAACTGGTAGCGTATGGTGGGGAGCAGAAAGCAGAGCTGCAGAGCGGTTAGAGGAAGTGAATGGGGTGGGTATTTGGTACGTCTGCCGAAAAGGTTGGCCCCCACTGTCTTGGGGGATCACTTAGGCACCAGGAGAGCCCAGTGTGAAGCATCTCAGCCCCAGGCCTCCTAGGCACAGGGCACCCACTACTTCAGAGGGAAAGTATAGGTGCTGTGGCTCCGGAAATCAGGCCCTGGCTCTGGAAGGAGACACTGCCGAAGAAACCGCACTGCATGAGAAGCCACTTCAGCATCGCCTGCCATTACACTTCACTCTCGCTTGGCATTGCTAGGTCTTAAATATGAAATTATCATACTGGAAACTCAGAATCATCGTCTTTGCTGAAAAACTATTGTACACTGAAAAAAATATGCAACTAAGTACACAGATAAGTTTTATTTACTTCATATTGTTCAGTTCACTAACTCACCAGTGAGTGACAACTGGGTCATTAAAGCTGAAGCATTTATTTTGAGGCAAGCAGTCATAGCAGGGATCCTGGTTTTCTCCGACTAGAAACATCCCCAATTTTTGGATTTAAAAAAAGTAACCCCAAATCCGCATTTTTCCAGTGAGTAAAATGAACCATCACTATATGTGTGTGTATGTATATATGTGTGTATATGTGTGTGTGTATGCATATAAATCTATATATTAGTGGCGTTTCATTTTACTCAAGGAAAAATGTGGATTTTGGATTACTTTTTTATATCCAAAAATTGGGGATTTTTTTAAATCAGGGTCCCTGGTCATAAGAAAGTGCTGGCTGCACGCCCCAAAATTAGTTAAGGCTCCCTGACAGTAATTTGGGTTTTGCATATATGCCGCATCAATCAGCTGCCCCAAGAACGATGGCACATGTTGCACACTTGTGCTGTTACTGATTACACATGGTGCAAGGATTGAAATCATCGTACAAACCCGCTACTTCTCAACCTGGCACCACTGCCCCCGCTTCCACTAAGGCGCCTGCGCAGAACACCCTCCCCCACCCACCCCCGCGCGAGGTCTCGACCTGGAGGCGGGAGGGGCCTCGAGCCGTTCCACTCAGGCACTTGACTAGGCAGCCGGGCGGGCTTGGGGCCTTCCTCTCATCCGGAAGCGGGTGCACTGCGCATGCTCCTTCCTTTCCAGCGCTCGGGCTTGCTGCTTCTGCCACGGTAAGGCTGGGCTCTGGCCGCGTCATCATCCCCCGCGCATCGCCGCCATCCCGCCACCCCTGGCCCTGCCTCGGCGCTCGGCAGCGGCCGGGCGGCCTGCCCCACGGGCCTGCGGGGATATGTCTCGGGGGCGGCCCCGGGGAGGGTGGGGATGGGAGCTAGGCCGCAGTGCGGGGCGGGAGGTTGGGAGGTGGGAACCGCTGGGGGTGGACTCAGCGCGGGCTGCAAGGAGGACGCTGGGGCCTGTGTTGGGCAACAGGAGAGGCTGGGAGCCCCTGGGGGAAACTGAGGGTGGGGGTGAGGACCCAACCCCGCATTTGGGGCAGCAGGAGTAACGCCGCATTGTGCTGGGCCAGGGGGCAACAGGGGCTTCTGCTTCTGGGAGTTGTTTGTTGCTTCTGCATGAAAAGGGTGGAGAGACCTGGACCCTTTCCTCCTCTTTGCCTAGGGGCAGAGCCTGAGCTCCTGCTCTGGAGGGCTCCTCTCCCACCGCCTCGTTGTGGGCTGGGGGTGGCATTGGTGGCACCAGTTGCCCCGGCTATGCGGGTGCTTCTCTTGCACGTTTCCCCCTGAGAACATCTTCGTTGCTTAGTGGCTTCAAGCGCATGGAACCTAAGTACAAATGTGTAACCCCGCGTTGTTTAAAAGTTCCCTTCCTGCCGGCGTGTGTTTAGTGCTGTCTGGGCCCTTTCGACTTAGCAGGATGTTGGGTATCTCTGTTTTATCCTGTCTGAAGTGGGGGTGTTGATGTTTGCTGCGCTTCTTTGGTTAACTGATGCTCAGCTTTAGTGCTGTACAGCCCCAACAAAAATGCTGTATTGTTACTTTCAATCTGACAGAGATCAAAAGTCCATTTCAGAGGCTGTCATTTTTTAAAGAATTGCTTTGTCTAATACGGTGGGAAGGATGGGTTATGTCAGGAGCACTTCTTGGGAGCTTGTTTCAGGGTTTAACGTTCACAGTATATATTGCTACAAAATGACTGTAATTGCTCTAACGCACGCCTTTGTTTTGGTGTTGTCTACTACTGATAAAAGCCATAGGAGTTGTTTCCCTCTGTTGGGTTACAGAACACAGGTGAACTAAAATGGCCTTTTCTGCCTAGTGCAGGGGCTGGACCTGATGATCTTGCAAGGTCCTGTCCAGCCCCTTACAATCTATGAAAAAAATGAAGCTTTACCTCTTCTGTCCTCCCTTTTGTTTCTGTGTTAAGCTTGCAGGAGCTGAGAAGAGCCAAAAATGTCAACAGAAGCATGCATCAGACTATCTGACGGTTGTCATAGAACACCGTGATTCCAGAGTTGCTCTGTTTTTGTTAGGTCTTGATACTGGAGCACTTGAGCATCAGCTCTATAGTAATGTACATGTATCTTGACAGTGAAGTGCAGTAACGATTCCTTTAACTTTCAGTCTGGTAAAGGTGATAGTAACTTATCAAACAAAACGCTATAGGCCCAGTGTAGAATTGAGTGGCTTAAAAACAGACCTTGTTTACAGTAAACTAGCAGTAAAGCATCTATCTTGTTAGATCAAACTAATCATTGTATTCTCTGCAGATGTTGATGCCCAAAAAGAACAGAATTGCCATCTACGAACTCCTTTTTAAGGAGGGGGTGATGGTGGCGAAGAAAGATGTCCACATGCCTAAGCACCCAGAGCTGGCTGACAAGAATGTGCCCAATCTCCATGTCATGAAAGCCATGCAGGTAGGGGAATTATGGGTGTAAAATTTAATACTGAACTGTGGGCCAGCACAAAAGTTACAGCTAGCTTACATGAAGCTTGTGTCATATATTAGTGTAAATGCTGGCACTTCTTCTGGTGTTGAAGGAACAGCCGTTTCAGGGGATTTTTTTTTTCCCTTTTTCCAAGTTATAGTGCTTCTGTTAACTTCATCCGTCATTCACAAACTGTTGGAAGTTGCTGTATTGCTTAATATACAGTTTGATAGTCCTCTTTCTGAAACGCATTCCTTTTTTAGCCTTTTCAGTCCATCTTTCATGCAATGTGAGTAGTTAATATGTGGATGATACTATGGCTTAGCTTGTATAAATACACTTGAGCTATTCTAGTATTCAGTCTTGCATTTGTGCCCTGCGAGCTACTGCAGTGTTATAGCCTGGTGTTTTTATGCTGGTATTTAATGGAGATGTTAAATGATGGTTGTGATCAAATGCTGCATAGTCTCCTTTAGATAGCTGCAAAATGACTAATGAGTATTTCTCTTTTAGTCGCTGAAATCTCGTGGCTATGTGAAGGAGCAGTTTGCTTGGAGGCATTTCTACTGGTATCTGACCAATGAGGGCATCCAGTACTTGCGTGATTATCTCCATCTGCCCCCTGAGATTGTGCCTGCAACCCTGCGGCGCAGCCGCCCTGAGACGGGCAGACCACGACCCAAAGGTAAGCAGAAATTAAGACAACTTCCATGGCATAGCTGGGTGGCTGATAAATCTGTGGGGTAGAGGGTAGAACAGTGTAACGGAGTACAGCTTGCTAGACATACTCCTTTCATGGTAGATGCTTAGCTGAACACACGCTCTGTGACCAAAGGGCTGTTGAATGTGTTCAGGAATAGAGAGATTACATTGCCTCTGTGTTTAATACTGCCCTAACTGCTACTGAAATATTGTTTGCAATTCTGGTGTCAACAGTTCAAGAAGGACATTGGAAAAAATCAAGACTGTTCAGAAAAGAACCATGAGAATGATTAAGGGATTAGCCAAATTGCTTTCTTGGGGCACTTAAAGAGATGAATCAATTTAGCTGATCAGGGGGAAGGTTAGGGAGTGATTTGACTTGTCTAAAGTAGTACCTCTTTGGGCAGTCAGAATTTGCTTGCTCCAAGTCTAATGAGCTGCAGCTCGTTACATTTTTTTGCCAGAAACAAAACCCATCGTCTTTTTAAGTGCGAGGGTGACTTGTGGAACAACTTAACAGTTATTGCAGTGGAAATTTTAAAATCAAGATGGGCTGTTTTTTCCCTGAAGTTGCCATGGTTCAAAGAGGAAATAATTTAGGGAAGTTGTCTGACTTGGTAGAGTGGAGACCATGCTAAACAATGACTGCAGGCTCTTTTGACCTCAAATTTGTTATTTGAACAGTCCTAATAGGTAACTGTGTGATGCCAACTGAAGGCATTTGAGATGATTCCCTGTCAGAACTGCATCCTGTTCACTATAGCATTTAATATCTTTTTATCTAGTTTGCACAGTTTTCCAACTTGGCCTCCTTCTCAAAGGGCCATGTAGAGGATAATATTCTTCCTTCAGGTTCAAAGAATTTTATTTTCAGAGTGTGACTTAGTAAAGTAAGACAACAGCCAGTTGTTTTCTAAAAGTACCTGTTCATTGCTACTCTTAGCAAAGGGGGGCCCTTAACACTTGTCCATATCATCAAGGTTTGGAGGCATAAATCTTGTTTCTCTTATTGTTCCTTGGGCTTGGGAAGATAAACTTCCATTTAGAACACTGTCATCCTCAAAAGTTACAGGTGAAGGTTGTGGAGATGCTAATCATTCCATATTATATTAGTTTTCTGCAAGGTTTTACATGCACTAGTCATCCTCTCTTCATTGCTTCCTTTAAATAGTCAAAGTAAGTTGCTGAAGAGGTAATGTTATTTGGGTACTGATGATTATTAGGCAGAATAATTTGTCTTGTTAAGAGGTTTGCTTGGCTTTAACTTTGCGTTCTCTTAATGGTCCTAGTTTCATGCTCTCACAGATATGTGTAGTATTATTTGTATGCTGTAAATTGCTTATGAGACATTCCCCCAAACTTGATTCCTCATTTGAGGTCTTGTATTTCTCTCACTGATTCAGTGTGTGCTGGGAAGACAGCACTTGTTCTTGGCAAACGATCAGTCTTAAACATCTTGTTGAGCCCATTGATGCTGCTGTGTTGGCGAACATACAACTTACAAATTTTGTGGTGTCGAGGACGTTCCATTTTGCACATTGCTTCCCTTCAATATTTTGTGATCAGCAGTGGCCAAAACTTTCGCATCAGCAGCAAAACAAATATGACAAATATGAAGAAATCTACA